AGCTCCTCACGGCGCCAAGTCTCACGGTTGACCTCCCCCTCAAGCAGATAAGCGTGCTCCTGCACCATCTGCAGTTGCGCTAGATCTCGCTCACCGAGATCGTAGCTGCGCTCCAGCTGCCTGCGGAGAATTATCTTCTCGCGCTCCCGCTCCTCACTGCGCGCAGTTTCAACGCGGAGCTCCCCACAAAGGCCCGCGATGAGACGCCGGTAGTACAGACGCTCGGCCTGGAGCAGTGCATCCTCGCGAGGCCGCATGTAGGGAGGCCGCTGGGCCATCAGAGCAGCCACAAGGCAGGGAACGTCCTCGTCCGCCCACGCGGTGGGCTTCTCCAGAAGCCACGCCTGCACGCATCGGAAGGCCGCTGAGGAAGTCATGATAGCTTAAAGTGGCTGCGCGGGTTTTTTTGCGCCCATTCAAGCATTTGGGACCATTCGAGCATTCGGCGGGCTTTTTTTCTTTAGCGCGTTCCCCTTGCCCTGTCCAAATCCTCCTCAAGTTCATCAACGCGCACCTCCGCCAGCACCGCTCGCTCGCGAAGATCTTCGTTCTCTTCCCTGAAGACCTCGACGCGGCGCTCCAGCCGCCAGCGGAGAATGTCGATGCTGCGCTCCAGCTCCCCAACGCGCTCCTTAGCCCGCGCCGCTCGCTCACGCTCTTTGTCGAGGAGGTCGTTGAGGCGGTCCAGCATCCAGCGGAGATTTCTGTTGTCGCGCTCCCGCTCCTCACAGCGCAGAGTTTCATCGAGGAGCTCCTCATCGAGGTGCGCGAAGCGGGCGCGCTGGTGCGAGCGCTCGGCCTCGAGCAGCGCGTCCTCGCGAGGCCGCTTGCAGGGAGGCCGCTGGGCCATCAGAGGCGGGGGCCCCACGAGGAACTCCATCACGAGGTCCAAAGGCGCGGAGCCTGGCGGAGCGTAAGCGCCCAGCATCCGCAGCTGCTCCAGGTTGCGCCAGTGTCCCAGCGGGCGCGAGTTGTGAGCGTCGAGGCCGTAGACCTTGTCGTTGAAGGGCGAGAGGGACTTCTTCTCGACGGTCTCCACGGCGATCTCGTGCGCGCGGCTGCGCAGCTGCGCGAAGGTCGCCCTGCGCTCGCTGCCTTCCTCCAGCACCTCCCTGTACTCGAGATGCCGGACGTTGGTCACCGCCTTCTTCGGCACGCCCTTGATCTTGCGCTTCTCCTTGCGCGCGCCGTCGGGCTGGACCGTGAGGATGCTGTACATCTTGGAGCGCAGGCCCACGTACTCCAGGATCCTGGCGGGGAAGGTCTCGTCGCCGAGCTTGCCCAGCTGGCCCATCACCTCGATGGCCTTGGCGCGCGCCGCTGCAGAGAGCGCGCTCAGGTCCCTCTCGGGGTCCTTGGACTTGCCGGCCACGTCGAAGAGGGTGGCGCCGTTCAGGTTCGCCTCGGCCATGGCGTGGAGCGGGTCCTGCAGCTCGAAGATCTGCACCATCACGGAGTCGGTGTCCGTGAAGAGCAGCCTCATCTTCGGGAAGAGCCTCCTCATGTGGAGGTAGTAGGCCTTCTCCATCATGAGCTTGGAGAGCTGCAGCGTGCGGGCGCCGACTTGGGTGGGCACGCTCATGCAGGCCTTGCTGCGGTCCGTCTTGAGCGTCTCCACGAAGGCCAGGAACCCCTCCGAGTCGTTGATCTGGAGCTCGAAGTTCGTCACGGAGCTCTTGCCCACGGCCCGCTCGAACTTGGCCGGGTCCACGTAGGCGTTCGTGTTCCTGAACTTGTCGGGGTTCATGCAGCAGCGGCCGAAGATGGCGTTCTGGGTGAGCTTCACCACCTTCTCGGCGACCACGCTCCCCGCCGTCTTGAGCTGCCTCCGCTCGCTGTGCTTGAGCTCCATGAAGCCCGCCATGAAGGGGCTGCAGGCAAAGCGGTAGGCTCTGTGCAGCCTCCAGACCCTGGCGCCCAGCACGTCCCGCAGGAACTTGAGCCGCTTGCCGTCCACGCCCTCCTCTACGTGCATGCCGAGGAAGGGCACGAGCTTCTCGCAGGGCGACGGGGAGAGGCCGAGGCGCTCCGCCATGTCCGCCGTGTGCGGCCATTGCCATTGAGGGGGCTCTCCATTTTCAACATTCAGGGGTGTCCTTGTCAACTCAGCTCTCAACTCAGGTGGGCAGATTTGTTGCCCTGCAGACCGGCTCACGTCAAGTCAAAACTGACACATCAATGTGCTGTCGTGCTCAAGTCGTTTTTGGGCAACGAAGCAGGTGTAGCCACGCAACCTGACACAAACAGAATTCTTTACAAGGCAACCCCTGCACGTAATATCGCAATAGTTGATGTGTGCAGCGCCGAGGAGCCAGAGGGTTTGCAGTTTGAGTTCCGGGGCCTTGCTATGTCTCAACTGTCGAATGTTGGAAAACCACTTGTAGTCTCGGGCTCCGAAAAAGCACGCTTGTCTATTCCCTCAGTCTTTGTTTGGACCACTTATTCCCTCCCAGTTGAACGTTCACTGATTTTGGGAACCCTGGGAAGACTAGCTTGCAGGGGTCAGAAAGTTGACAGTGCTTATTTGTATTTCCTAGGATTTCGGAGGAGACCAACAGGGCGGAGAACTAAGTTGGGCTTGATGCCAAATTTCATGGGTCAGGTCAGTTCGTTCGGGATTTATGTGTTTTAAGGTCCTAAAAACGAATAATGGTTTTTTACTCAAACTTAAGGGTTTGACAAAACCAAAAAAACAAAAACAGGGATTTTGCAGCAAACCTCAAAGTGTACTATTGATGCCAGTTTCCTCGAAACAAGAATCAATTTGCTTGTTTCCCAGCGGACCCCGCCGTTTCTGCGCGCTAAGCTAGGGGTAAGACAGCTTGACGCGCCTGCTGAAAGGGGTTTGGGGTCATCTAAACAGAAATGAGTCTTGGCCGCCAAGAGGAAAGGGCTTGAACTGCTTTTGGGGAATAACTTAACTATGAAACCGCCTCTTCTGTACGAGCAAAATGCGTTGTTCTTGAGCCCAAATTCTGCTCGCATTTTGGCTAGATTGGGCTTGCAATTGCAAGTGTTCACAAAGAAAGCAGTGACCTGCAACAAATCCTGCATGGACACATTGTTTGGGTTTTGGCCAGGAGCAGAACTGTTTTTCTTGGTAGGCAGAGGCCCCAGGTTCCCCGCGAACCAACTCCGAACAAACTCCGAACGAACTCCGAACTCCGAACGAACTCCGAACGAACTCCGATTCCGAGCAAACTCCGGACAAACTCCGAACGAACTCCGAACGAACTCCGGGCGAGCTCGGAACAAACTCCGAACAAGCGAACAAGCTCCGAGCGAACTTTGTCATTGGTTGATTTCCGAACAAACCCCCGAGCCAACTCCGAACACACTTTGGCCATAAGTACGTGTTTGAGCAAAAGTATTTTGGTGGTTTAAACTGTTTTTTGGCTTTTTTCGGGATTACCAAAAGTTGCCAAGTGAATACAGGGGCCAGTTTCAACAAGTGGCCTGGGAAGGCGTTCAGGGCTGGATTTGTAGGACTTGAGAGCTGCGGAGGGCTAAAATCGCTACCGGGGTGATCTCGCAGCTTGGTTGGCGCTGAGGCTCGCTGTTGAAGCTGAAACAAAGTTTAATCTGCTTGACCAAGGCTTAATCCGCCTTGTTGGCGCTGAGGCTCGCTGTTGAAGCTGAAACAAAGTTTAATCTGCTTGACCAAGGCTTAATCTTATTCCAAAAACAAAAAGCTTAAGTTCAACACCGGTGTTGAACTTAAGGTTTTGCCCTTTTGGTCGTATGAAATAGCTGTTTTTTTGCCTGAACAACCTGGATTAAGCATTTTTCAAGGTTTTTTTTACCTTGGTAACACTGAATTTGTAGACAAAACGCGTGAACAAGCTGTAATTCCAGTGTTTTTGTACGACCAAAACCCGAAAAGTTCAACACCAAAAAAAAACCAACCCAAAGTTCGTTCGGAGTTCGTTCGGAGTTCGTTCGGGGCAAGAATTATGCCCCCCGCCCCCCCCCAAAAAAAACTAAGCACAAATCATAGCCTGAAAGCAAAAACAAGCAAACAAAAACAAAACAAAGCTGAAAAACAAAAACTTAAGGCAAAAACAAAATAAAACAGCTCCCCAGACCAAATCCCGAAAAGTTCAACACCAAAAAACAAATAAGCTCCACAAACTTAAGGCCAAAGTTCGTTCGGAGTTCGTTCGGAGTTCGTTCGGGGCAAGAATTAAGCCCCGAAAAAAATATCAAGCACAAATCACAGCCTGCACGAGCAAAAAGACAAAACACCGAAAAACTAAAACTTAAGGCCAAAACACACAGCACACACACCCGCACTTTCTTTCCTGAGGGCAATCGTCTCGCAGGACCAAAGTGTGTTCCTCGGGGGTTTGTTCTGCCAAAGTTCGCTCGGAGCACCGCTTCGTTCGTTGTCTCTCGGAGTTTGTTCGCGTTCCGGAGCCCTTGTGCCTTCATTCGAGCATCCCATGCAGAATTTGTTGCAGGTCACTGCTTTGTGGCCAAGCTCTAGCGATTTGGGCTCCAGAAAACGCGCATTGTGTTCACACGCAGCTGTAAGTGCAAGTAGCGACAGGGCTTGAACGCTCCTAGAGGTCAAAGAAGAAACGTAGTCAGAGATGTCGGAACACTATGCTCTAGCCCTCTTGGCATTTTGGGAAGTCTGGGGTTTTGTTCGTAGGAGCCTAGCTCCAAACCCTGGCGTGGCCTTAGGGCCAGTCTTTTTTTGCAGGATGCCACGGCTCATGGGGGATTGAAGGAGGGGAGTTTGGACCCTACGAACGGAATTGCTATCCAATATTTTTGGGCGTCCAAGAATTTGGTTATGCCTTGATGAGTTAGCCCCAACTGGGACCCCTTTTGGCGAGCAACCTTAATAAATGCGGGTTTGCCAAGTCTACCAACCTTAAACCAACCCTAAACCAGCCCCAAACCCACCCTAAACCCATCCTAAACCCAACCTAAACCAACCCTGCGCACGGACACACGGACACACACACACACACACTCTTTCTTTTGGTGAGGGCACGTCGCAGGTACCGTGCTGCATCTGCACGCTGGTGCTCCGACATCTCCTGCATGAAGTGCTTCACGGCATCCCTGGGTGGCTTTTGGGCCCTTGGATGGAAAAGCGCATTGAAGACACGCAGCCATGTAGTCAAGTAGCGACGTCAGCTCCCGTTGTGTTCTTGTTTTACTCCGGTACTTCAATACTAGGGTGGGAGCCCTACGATTTTGTCCCTCCACATCACTCCGGCACGAAAATCTCGTTTCGCAACAGGCGGGCGCTTGACGGAACTGGCTGGTTGAAATTAAAGGGGACGTCCAAGGAAACCAATCCTTCAGGGCACTTGTGCACAGCCAGGCAGCCAGGGGTTGAACCTAGATCGGTGGCATCCATGCTAATGAGATCTGCCCGCAGCCAGGTCACATCTGGCCTACTGAAAAGGTATTGTCTGCATATCGTTCCCGTGGCAACGAAACCAATCACCAGCCAAACCAATCAACAGCTTTCCTCCCGAGTCGAAACCGGTGCGGCCTGATTAGAGACACAATCCTTTCTATTGGGAACCCAGGACTTTTCGCAACCTGATGTCGTTTTAGGGTGTCCCATCGAGGCAAACGTTTCCTGGGACCATCCCCCTGTTCCGCTTGGTTTTTGGGTGGTCGAGTTCCCTTCGGCCGGGGCTCGTGACCCTCTGCATCTGCTGCTCGAACCTCAAATGCATCGGTCTTTCACTCTGTCTCCGGCCGTGCTTAAGAGAAAAGACCCCCATGTGGTTTGGTGTCGATGAGCCTCGTCCAAACCGACATGGGCAAGTTGGGGCTACCCCAAGCAGGGTTCCTTATATGTCCCCTTTCAACATCACTCCGCCAAAGCGAAACTAATCTAACACTTGCTCAAAAAGTTGCGTGTAAACCGCCTCAAAAGGGACATATGAGGGCTTATTTGAGAAACCCTGCCAAGTTCCGATCATTCCCCTCTTCCAGCAGACACCTTTTGCGGAGAGTTGGGGTCATCTGGGCTCTCCAAATGGAGAGCCCCTAAAATGTCTCTCATTTTCTGTGGTGCTCCAGAAAAGGGTACCAACTTCAATATATATATATATATAATGTGTAAGACTCTGCACTGGGATCACTGAATCCTCGTCCAATAACGTCCACGCCATCGGATTCCCGCCCTCTCGGATTCGAGGGAAGAGAGAAGAGGCTGCTGTCGTTCGGAGATGGACAAGTTTGCTGGACCCCCCCCCCCCATGCGCTTTCAAGTTGAGGTTGACCAAACTGGCAGAAGTTGAGTTGGCCTTAGGCGCTTTATGTTTTTTGGAAACGTCCGTCTTCCAGCTGGAGCATACCTTGTACTGTGTCTCCGTCATAGTCTCCTTTTGTTTCCCTTCATGCTGTCCTCCTGTCTAGCGTCCTTGCATAGCCAGAAACAGTGTTTTCCTCTCGTCTTCATTCTTGGTAGTGTTCTTACGATAACCGAGACAGTTTTATGTTTGGCCGAGGCTGGTGTACTTTGTTCATAAGCGCGGCGATAGCTAATGAACAGCCACTGCTAATCAGGTACACATGGCATAGATTCAGCAACACATGTGCATGTGTGTTAACATCGCACACATTTCTTCAGGTCAAGCGATGCTTCAAGTTCTTTCCCTTCGGGAAGATCTGTCTGGCGAGGAAACAGTACGAAACAGTATGAAACAGTAGCGCAGTCAGCGGACTCTGCCTTCTCTTGGAAACAGCAACTTCTGAGGGTCTACGCAGCCTCAGGGAGTGTTGCAGTGGCCAGAAGCTCATGATCGGGCTGGCCGCGTGTCTCAGCCAAAAGGAAAGTCCTTGTCCTGTAGATCTTCGCCACAGAGCTGTCCGGCCAGCGCTGCACCCAGCAAAGACCCAGAACTGCGCTGAGCACTGACCTGGCAACAGCTCAACCCTTTCCATGCGAATACAAGAACACTAGTCTTTTCTCGAAATTGGCACCATCACTTAAAGAACGAACATTTGGCTTCGCGTTGAAACAATCTGTTCGCCAAGTCGCATGTACCCGCCCAGCCGAGCCAACAACATGAAAATCTGCGGGTAGCGACCGATCTCCACTTCTTCCAGCACATGGCCATTGAGAATTTTCAATGTGGCCTTGTACGTTTGATATGTCACGCCCTGCTCGAGGGCGGACAAAAGCTTGGGCGGGTACTTGGCGAGTTTCGCGAGTGCAGCTGGCCTCCATTTGCTCAAGTTCTGCGCTTCAATGCCCTCCAAGTCAAAGTCAGGATATGCGTACTGAAGCTGAGTGCTGTAGATGTCCTTCAACTCTGGAGACATAAGTGTGGAGAAAGCACTCAAGTAGAGAGATGGAGAGAAGATCTTGGAGGTGAAATTCTCATATTCGGGGTTGCCTGAGAAGCGTTTTGAGCCATCCCTCTTCTTCACAAAGTTCATCACTTGGTTGCCTGGAGTGAAGGCTGTAAGCGTTTGAAGTGGTACTTTCATGTGCTTGTCCAAGACCAGGAAAGGCATGGAATCTTTAACAGACCCGTCAACGAGAAGTTCAAAGTGAAGAGTTGAAGGCGCGCGAGGCTGCAGTGTTGTGGCATTGACCAGAACACATTTTAGAGAGCCTAGGTGCGTATAGGCGATGTGTACCAGCTCCTCTCTTCCTTTCAATTGTTCGTGTTCAGATTTGTCCTTGGATAAAATGCATCCATGGCCGTGGGGGCTTGTTGCAGTCGCCGCCAACATGGATTCATTGATAGGCATGACCCCTGCCAGACTGCACTTTGCGAGCTTGGGATGCCCCTCCGGGCTGCAAAACAGGAATGTCGGCAAGCTTCCCCAATCTGCCGACATCGAGGTTTGCATTGCCGGGGTCCCATCATGTAGGATGCTGTACGCCCTGCAGAGAAAGAACACAATCGGCATGAGATACAGGAGAATGACGCTTAGCCACGCACATGCCTTGTACTCCTTCACCACAGTCTCTGCAAACCAAACCATGCTGAAAAAACACGCAAAGCGGGGGTAACAAACCTTTCCAAGATTCTATCAACTCAGATCACTGAACTTGAGCCCAGCTATGCATTGGAAGCCTGCTGCCTTCAGACCTTTCAGTCAGGAAGCATCTGCTACACGTGCTTTGCAAACAATTGTGGACACCTTCGCATGTCCTTGGCTAAAGCATTTTTTTGTGAACTGCGCTTCCGTTGAGGTGATGTAAGCATTTCGGCGTGAATGCTGCTTGCTTGTCTTACAAGTGCACTGCTCAGCATGTGCCTGCGATCGTTTACGCCGCGATCGATTCCGAGGCCTCGGATTCCATCGGAGGGGCGTGACCGCATCCAGGCGCCCCGCGGCGCGCTGCTCCGCCAGGCGCCCTGGCGAGTTCCTGCGAGCTGGTGAGCTGGTGAGCTGGCCGGCTCAAATCCGATCCAGGGAATCCAGGGCAAAACCCTGGTAGTGCGGTCTTATGCCAGGGTAAAAAGTGTTCATTAGCAGGGTGAACATAGATGGCACAATTCCTTTTCTACAGGTCAGGGGGAACATGAAAACAAAATGTGGGAATTGCAGCATCTTTCACCCAATTGTTACCCTCCCACCCATGCTGCATGGAACCTGACTGGGGTGGAGAGGACCCTCTGGTGGGTCCCATGTTGGCAGGTACTTTGTCTCCAACAATCATGGAAGTGCGCCGGAAGAGGTTTGAAAACTACCATCTCAAAAAGGCCAGCAGCTGTCCGCACCAGCCCAGGACCCTCTGAGTTCATGTTGGGGTTTCACCAGCCACTCAACAAAGAATCCAAAGGAAACCGCCCATGTTGGGTTCCCTCTGGAGAAACACATGGCAAATTACCTCTCTTCCCAAGACATTGGAAAATTGGGTGGGCCCGATTGTTTTTGTGGGCAATTTGGGTGGCCCCCCATGTCCTCCCCAAAAACAATAGTAGACTACCAGTAATTTTGGTCAGTTGCTCTGAGTGAGTCTTAGTCAAAACCTGGCATCAACGACCCACAATGTTGCAAAAGATACTGGCGACTGGGACTGGAAACCCAAATTAAAACCAGTGCAATCCATCCATTGTTGATCAAACTGCCCCCCTAAGCGTTGGGACAACCACTTGTCTAAGCACATTACTGTTGAAACATCAACTCTGCTAGTGTTCCCTTTACAAGTGGACCGTGGATGGTTAAAAAACATGTTGGCCAACCCCAGAGTCTCAGTACTTTGATTAAAAAGTAATGGCCACAGCTAGCTGGATGCGCGACAGTCAACCTCAAGAGCATTCCTTTTGTCAGTGGGAGGCAGGGGAGCTTTTCAAAGCCGGACTTTGAGGCACCACTCACAAGGCCCCTGGAAACAGAACCCAGAACCTCGTTTTGACCCCGTGCCATTCCAAGCTTGACCTCTGTTTCCCAAGGGGATGTTCCCTCTAAGCGCGCTTTCCCTTTGCTTTCCCTTCGGAACAACCCAAAAAGGGTACCCTCAAGAAAAGACTACCAAGACAAAAACAAAAAAAAGAGAAACGAAAATCTGCTTCCCGCCCATCAGAATGAAATTCCGAGGGATCTTCGTCATTTTCTCCCCATCCGCAAGTCGGCAAGGCGCCGGCGGCCAGCCAGGCGGGTCGCGCGCATCGCGGTCCGTGGACCACTTTTGGCTATGGATTTTCCCATCAAAGGCCACATGTTTCTATGCCATCCATCTACTTCAAAACAGTTCTACGCCATCCAGTTGCTCTGATTCAAATCAAACTGCTCTCGCAACCTCAAATTGGAGGTACGGAGGTTGCATACCACCTACGTACTGCCCGTCAAGCTTATTTTGGTGGTATATCAGCATCCAATTGTCCAAAACCCCATACCTGAACATGAACTAACAAAGGGTGCTGGCCCCAATCAGTAATTATGTCAAGAGACGGCAAGGTGACGTCCCGTGGGACGCTATGCACCGAACCCTCAAGCTGTAATACCAACCACGTAGAAAGGTGTATACGGACGATGCCGTTATAGCCGAACCCGTGTAAACGTTGTAAGGGAGAAGGAATGATAGTTACAACAGTGGTCCTGACAAATGCAGCGCAAGCAAAGTGTTTTCGCTCTCAATGCCGATCACGTATGTATGCAGTCACACATCAGATCTTGAACCTCAATTGTGTCTTGAGCCAAATGGCGATCAATGGAACTTGGGAAGCAACACCAACAAGGACCTCAGAACAGCTACCCAATTTCGGCACGGGGCCTAGAGGGTTTTAACATCCCCCATTTGGGTCGCATTGTTCATCATGCGGTCCAAACACCACAAAACGTTCCACTGGCCACGGCTTCAACTACGAAATCGTGTCGTGCATTCTTTTACTTGCTATCACTACACCGTTCATTCGCTGTGAAACATGCCGGGTTCGATTGTACGAAAAGTGAAACATTCGTCCTCCAATCGAAGCACACATCCATATGCAGGTGTATATAATACACAATCGTCAATTCATTTGACCACCAATGAACAATCCAGCTGCCGCATTTGCGCATCGCGCAGCTGTCATCCATAAATGGGTTGGCCGAAAGAGTCCACCAGAGGCGCCTGCTCGCAATTGGTCTGCATATTCCGGCAAAGAAACATCGGTGAGTAATCAATGCAAATCATAGCCATTCCAGATACCATGGACAATGCATAAATAATGAAAAGATATCATCTATAAGGTAATAGTTCCATCCATGAATAT